CGCGTCCCCGGCCTGCGCCTGGAATCGCGAAGTCGGGGTTTGCGGCGTTGGCTTCGAGGATCACGTCTTCTTGACGCATGGGTCTGCGTGGAGGGCCAGGTGCGAAGGGCGCAAATTGGCCGGCTGGGGCACCCATTTCCGGCCGCCAGTTAGGGTTGACGGGACGTTGCGAGACAGATGTGAAATGTGATGCTTCGCTTGCGGCGGGCGAGCGCGCGCCTTCTGGTAGGTCGTCGTAAGAACTGTTGCGCGGGAGGTTTGTGTCGCTCCCGTTGCCTGTGGAGAGGAAGTTGGGGTTCGGGGGAGCGAAACCACCTGGCATGAGGGAGCTCGGTAATGGCGGAGGTGCCTGGGCTTGTGAAGGCTCTGCGAACCTGGGATCCACATCTTCGTAGTAATCTGAACTGCGCTCTACCCTGTTAGGGCCACCAATGTGAGATATGTGAGCAGGCATTTCGACAGGTGAGTCTTGGATCGGCGATAGCCCGCGGCTACTGTTGTTCAATGTGTTGAGACTTTGGTCTGACGGGACCTGTTGCTGGTTCCATCCCGCTCGTACAGGCATGTATTGCTGTTGTTGTTGCGGCATAGGCGGCTGTTGTTGGTGTTGTAGAGGCTGCGGCCGTAACGCCGACTCACTGTCCAGGGTTAGCACATTGTAAAGAGGTAGGCTTGACGAAACTTACTCTGTAGAGTACTCGCTGGTCGGGCTCATGACGCCATCCGATGGCCGCCTCTGGGGCGCACCGGCGGGGAAGCCACCTTGCTGGAGAGCAAGCATGCCTGCAACATCACCGTCGCTTTCCCTCAAACCAAAGTTTGTTGGAGGCGTGCCTGTGCGGTTGTCCATTTCGATGGCTTGTCCAATTGGCAGCGGTGGCCCCTGACCAGGCGGTGGTCCTCTGCCATATGGTGACTGTTCACGGGGAGGTGGCCCTTGGTTGTAGAAGTTGCCGTTGTTGTATCCCGGAGGAGGCGCTCCTCGACCCATTGGCGGCTGACCTTGCATTGGAGGTCCATTCGGAGGTCGTCCGCCTCGTCCACCACCGTTCCATCCCGGCGGCGGAGGTCCGCGCATACCTCCTCTTGGTGCGTAGCCTCCTCCTCTCGGGCCGCCATACTGTCCACCTCTTGGTGGGCCTCCTCGACCCCTCATCGGACCTCCTCTTCCACGTGGCGCGCCATTCATCATGGCGTATTGGTCGTTTGGCATGGGTGGCACGGGATTGCCATACTGATCCATGGGCTGTCGACGACCCGAGGGACCGCGGTTCGGTGGGTTCATGTTCTCCGAGCCGTTTCCACCGCTGCTAACGGTCTTGAGCGAAGGATTGCGCTGGTTCAAGGGCGTCATGTCGTCGGTCGGCGATGGCTTGGAATGGTCGAAGTAGGCTGCATTACCGTCCCTGCCTCCAGAGGTCATGGTCTCTCCGGACAGTGGAGGCGGTGACTCAGCCTTGGGAAATTCGGAAGCCACAGTCGCATTGGCGCGGTTCGCGTAGTAGGTCTGGCCGTTCATGTCATCGTTCTCGGCAATGCGCCTCTTACGCGCCTTGCGACTGACCAGTGTGCGCCTCATAGCGCACGTAACGATACCACTTGCGACGATAATGACGGTAGCACCTAGCACGATCCATCCTCCCCAGCCCACATGCGGCACGAACAGCAGGATGTCAACGAGGAAAGCGAGCAGCGTGACCAGCAGAGTCGGGAACGTGAATATGAGCAGAGCGAGGAGGTAGCGCGGCGAGTGGGCGGGCGAGTGGAAGTGGGCAGCGACGGAGAGACCGAAGCAAATCAGCGTCATGAGAGCTGCGACGGGGTGCACGATGAGAATGGAGGAAAGCGCATGGCGCTGGGCGGAGGGGAGCGAGAAGTCGGAGCTGTCTTCGCCTGCGAATAGTTTCTCTGTTTGAACAGTTAGCACCATGGCCGTCGTATGTGATACAGGGCGCCATACCAGTGTTGTACCCGATCATGGGCCCTTTGCAGCCTTGGTCGCCATTCTCGCAGTAGCCGAGGACGCCAAAGTGGACACCGCGGTAGGTAGCGAGGGGAATGCTCTTGATCAGAGGCGTCGAGAGGGTCGAGAGCAGCAGCAGCACAAAGGCGACGAAGAATAGTATCGATAAGGGGGTCGCAGGGCGCAACATGTTGGCGAAGAATAACGGAGGCTACCGCGTGGGATTCCGGCTCGCCAGAGACCGGCTCTCTCAAGTCGACGGCGTGGTGTTGGGGAGGGCGATCGGACGTGTGCGCGACGAAGGTGAAGGTGCAGACGGTCCGCAGTCTCGTAACAGTGGGCGCAGTCGTAAACGTGCCTAAGCGCACTCTTGCCCTGACGTGAAACGAGTGACGATCGAAGTTACACCAGTTATGCCTGTTAGGTCATTGATGCCTCGAAGGAGCTTGAGCGTGCGCGACGACGGCTGGACACGCGATGAGGCGCTCGAGGGGGCAGGCGCTGGCTGTTGGGGGTTGCGGGGAAGCGTGGTCGGCTTGGGACACGCCTGGAGGAGGTGGGCGGAGGGCTGGAAGGAGCGACGGTGCAGCAACAGGAAAGAGCGGACGCGCAGCCAATCAGCGGCGTGAATGGCGCGAGGTATAGCGAACGTTGGAACTATGCCGGCTAGTCGCTGCAGTAACTTGGTATTGACGCGGGACCTATCGAGCCGTTGACGTTGACCCAGACGTCTAAGCTGTCGCGCTGTGAATGAATGTAGCGTGTTGGACGACCCCCGGCGGCAGTATTTTCGCGGGTAGCCCCGTTGTCGCGCCCCTTGCCCTCGCAGCAGGCCCGTCTTACCTGCGACTTTGCTTTGTGTTCGGAGCATCAGTCGGAGTCGCACGCGTCCACGCTGCTCTCCCGCCCCAGTTTGGCAGGGATATCTATCGTCTCATTTCGCGTAGACGCACGGCCCATCATCCAGGCACTGAGAACACCGTTGCTCTGCTGCGTGCTTCAGACGAGACCGCTGAAACACAGACCCTTTCTTCTTCCTGGTCCTGAGGCAGCGCAGCGACTGTCAACACCAGCCATCGTGGTTGCCATCTGCTTCGACGACGTTGCGGGCCTCGCCTGGTAAATACACTGCAATGCGTTATCGCCTCGAAACAGGGCACGAAATAGCGCCCTCCTATCAACTGCAGCCAGATCCCGGAAAAGGATCAGGCCAGCGCCACCAACCTATATCACCTCACCTATCGCATTCCACGCGAGATGCTCTTTGTTTGAGCCTTCCCGCCTATATCTCCCACACTACAGATCCACTCGACCCGTTGCACAGCCCGCACGGCTCCACGCTGTCGCACGTCCATTGAACATTCAAAGCATTTCATGTTTGGGCAAGACTGAAGTGTTTATTTGCTTGATTCTCAGACCTCACATGGTATTCGTATGATATGCAGAGACTCCAGATCCGATCAACCTCCCCACAAGTGATCATGAACGCCTGAATTTTGGGATCAAGTCCTGCACCTATCTTCATGAACTCATGGGTACTTCATATCCTAACCTACAACTTCGCCAGCGTCACGCTTAGTGAGCAATGGCGTACGCCCTGCGGCGGTCACGCTCCTCAGCAATGGAAAGCTTGACACCCTTACCCTTGGGCAGAGAGATCCATGGCTTCTCCTTTCCGATGATGCTGAACGCAAGTTAGGAGTTGTTCTCGTTCTATGCGGATATCCAACTTACATGACGTTGGACTCACGAGTGGTGAACTCGTTGTCAACAGCGTCCTTCAAGTGGACAATGTTGAAGCCTCCGTCGTGGCGCTCACGGTGAGTGATGACACCGACACGACCCATGTTACGACCACCGGTAACCATGACAATGACACCAGTGTCGAACTTGATGAAGTCGGAGATCTTGCCAGTGGCGAGGTCGACCTTGACGGTGTCGTTGACCTTGATGGCTGGGTCGGGGTAGCGGATTCTACACAAAATTTTAGCAGCAATTCGGACATAGCCAGACCCTGGTCGTATGCCTGGTGAAAGAGGTTTCCCTCAGACACCTAGCCCAAACTGTGGTCCAACGGCTGATAGAGCGGGAACTTACGTTCGCGCATCGTGCGTAACCAAGTAGGGAATTCCGCCCTTGCCAAGCTGGACGCGCTTGACCTTGCCGAGCTTGTATTGTGCCTCCTCATCTGTTATCCTGTGGACGGTGAAGCGGCCCTTGGTGTCGTAGATCAGACGGAAGTTCTCGCCGGTCTTCTCGATGGAGATGACGTCCATCAATCCCGAGGGGAAGGTGGAGTCGGTGCGGACCTTGCCGTCAACCTTGACGAGGCGCTGCATGAGAATGGCGTTGACCTCGCGGGCGTTGAGCGCATACTTCAAGCGGTTGCGGAGGAAGATGATGAGGGGAAGGGAGTCGCGGAGCTTGTGAGGACCGGGGGAGGCCTTGGGAGCATAGGCACCTGGAAGATATCAGTTCTGAAGTCGCGATAGCCATTGCATCGATAATTGCGGGAGTCGAGCGTACCGGACAGCTTGTCCAGGAGCCAGTGCGAGGGCGCGCTGAGGCGCTTCTGGTGCTTGACGGGTCCACGGGCCATTGTGACGGTTCTGTGAGGTTAGTCGTTGAGATTGGAGGTCCTGTCGAAAGCGAAGTTCGAGAGACTGGAGTCCTCATTTTTCGTCTGCCACTAGCGTGTGCCGTAGCCGAGGACTAGCGCGCCAAGACCAATGCTGAAGTGCTCCGGTGCCCCATCTCAAGCGAGGGGAACTCAACATCTTAGAGCCCAGGCGCCTACTTTCACGTCAAATTCTCTGTTCGGTTTGTTTTATCATGGGATGAAAGATGCAAATTTGAAATCCTTGCGTCAATGTAGGATTCAGGGTGTGGCCATGCGCTACTCATCGCGGATCAGAACAACACCATGGAGTTTCTCACATCACGATCAACGAGCACTTAGTCACCAGACCGTCTCTAGACTCCGGATGTGTGCAATTGATTATTTTCTTGCATCTGAGTTGTATCCCGGTTCTCAACCCTAAGCATACCCCTTCAGCACCGCCGCCTCTGCGTTCAATATCGATGACCCCGCCGCTCCAATGACAGCTGCAACTAGTTAGCATTCGCCCAACCCCTCGCAATCGCAAGTCAAACTTACTGTTGTGGCTCAATGCAACGAACTTGAGATCGAAGATACCCGCCTCATCCTCTCTTATCCTACCCACGCTAACCGCGTACCCCCTATCCGTCTCCCTGTCCAGCCTTGGTTGTGGCCTATCTGGCTCCTCCATAACCACAATCGCCTTCGCGGGCGCAGACGGGCAACCCAGCTTCTGTGCATCAGACACGTACTCGCGCATTGCCTGCTTGACCTCTTCCGCGCTCGGTGGCGGGCGACGTTGAAAGCGTAGCGACACACATGCAGTGTGGCCATCGAGTACTGGCACGCGGTTGCATGCTGCGGATACCTTCATGGGCTGATCCACGAATCCTGTGACGTCGTCGTTGACGCTACCCAGGATCTTCGATGCTTCCGTCTCAAGCTTATCTTCCTCGCCCGATATGAAAGGCACGACGTTGTCGATGATGTCCATGCTGCTGACACCGGGGTACCCAGCGCCCGACACGGCCTGCATTGTGACGACGGAGACTTGGTCGATGGGACCGAACTTGGCTTGTAGCGCTGCGAAGGGTATGACGAGACCGATGACTGCGCAGTTGGAGTTGCAGACGAGGAAACCCTTCTCCAGCTTGTGGTGTTGCCGTTGGTGCTTGATGACGTCGAGATGGGGGAGGTTTACAGTGGGTACGACGAGCGGCACGAGAGGGTCGCGGCGGTAGTTCTTTGCGTTGGAGAAGACGGCGAGTTCGGACTTGAGGAAGGCCATCTCTGTTATGTGTCAGTATTTGCAATCGCAACCTGGAGTGAACTGCGTACCAACGTCTCCAGCAACATCGCTGTCGAGACCAGAGAAGACCATGTCACAGTCCTTGAACTCTTCAGGTGTGCACTTCTTCACCACCAGCTCTCCAATGCGCTCCGAGAAGGGCAGCGCCTGCTTCCACTTGACCGCATCTTTGTACTTCTTGCCGGCTGATCGCTCGGAGGCTCCAACGGCGTGTAGCTCGAAGTGTGGGTGTAGCGCAAGAAGAAGGATAAAGCGCTGGCCGACGGAGCCAGTCGCGCCGAGCACACCTGTAACGGAGTCAGTCGGCTATTTCCAACCAGAGATGATCTACTTACCGCACTTCTTCTTAGGGAAGTTTTTGCTCTGAGATGTAAACTTTTCAGCGTCCATTGTGGTGGTGGTTGGTATTGCAAGATTGAGTCAATCGAGTTCACAAAGTTCTGGTCAGGTATGACGCGGGGGTGGGGTGGAAAACGCGACACCAGCCGATCACGGAGGTCTTGAACGCGCTCATTTGCCGACTGTCTTGCCCCGAACAATGCTTTTTCATTACCAGACCAGAACAACACTAAACGGTGAGGCGGTACGAAATCTATATATGCCCCTCGAAGATGCACCGCGTAATCAGGCGTCCCCTAAATGCATGTTCGTAGAAGAGCTCCAGACAACAGTAGATGCGCCATCTCGACATGCACTTCTACGCCTGAGCGTCCATGATCTTTCCCGGGTTCATCAGCCAGTACGGATCCAATGCGCCCTTGATGCTTCTCATCACGTTGATTGTATCGAGACCAAGTTCCTTCTGCAATGATTCCTTCTTGCCCAGCCCAATGCCGTGCTCACCGGTACATGTGCCGTCCATCTCCAGCGCACGGTCGACCATGTCATGAACGCACTTTTCGACAGCCGCTCGCTCTTTGGGATCTTTGCTGTTGTACATAATGCTTTCGTGGAAGTTGCCGTCTCCGATATGACCTAGGATGCTGGCGAAGAGGCCGAGGTCATCCATTTCCTTCTTGGAGATTTCTATCGTCAAGTTAGCGACTCGTCAAAACATTGTATTCGCTTAGCGTACCTATGATGTCTGGTAGCCTGGAGATAGGCACGGCGACGTCTGTTGACCAAACTTCGTCGCCCTCGCGACGGAGCGCCAGCATGCTCCATAGAGACTCCTTGCGCGCAGACCACAACGTCTTCTGCTCCTCGGCGCTGACGGCGAATTCGAAGTCCCCACTCTTGTGTTTCCTGGAAATGGATTTGACCAGCTCAATGTTCTCCTGTACCTATATGCAGTCAGTTCCACTCTAGGTAATTGCAGGACACGTAGGGCTGACGTACCCCTGCTTTGGTTCCCGAAAATCTGTTTGAGGCTCTTAGCTCGTGCTTTCACATGTCAAATGGATATTCTCGAAACTTACTTGAAGAACATGGTCGGCAATTCTTTCCACTTTTTGGTCGTTGATCCGGCTTTGTTGATTACACCCATCTGCACGTCATCCATTATCTCCATCGCAGCCACCGGCACTCCGGCGCGCAACACCTTGGAAGCTGCGGCAGCGGCATCCCGTATCGTGGGAAAGGTGACGACTGCGACGCTGGTCTCTTGTGGTACTACTGCGAGTTTTAAAGTGATCTCAGTCACGATACCCAGGGTGCCTTCGGAGCCAACGAAGAGGTTGGTAAGATTGTAACCGGCCGATGACTTCCTGAAAATAGTCAGTCTATCGCACATTCCGACACGGAAACAATTTGCATACCTGGGCCTTCTTCTGGTCTTGATGATCGTGCCATCGGCAAGGACTACAGTCAGATTGATGACCCAATCCTTCATCGTGCCATATCGCACTGCGTTGGTGCCACTAGGAGGGTCAGCTGTTGGACCACGTCACTGACCATCATAGACCTTACCTGCAGCTCGTACCCACCATACCTCCAATTCGGGCCTGCCACGCCCGTTAGAATGAATTCGGAGTTCCGCATCGGGGTTTCCGAGGGTTGATTGCAAAGTTGTGTAACACATGACAACGTACCGATGGGCCAGGGTCGACTGGGAAAAATAACCCCGAGTCTTTGATCTGATCATTGAGACTCATCCATGGGACAGAAGGCTGAACCACTACGTCCATACTACGCATCACTGTCAGCGTCGCCAGTCTTGCATGCTAAACGTATAATTAACTCACTCATCTTCGTGCAAGGCCAGGATCTGATCCATGAACGAGAAGTCAATGCTCATGCCACCGAATGGAGCCGAGAAGTTGGCCTCCAAACTTGATCCCCCAGAATATGGGACTGCACGCTGTCAACACTCATCTCTCCATGCGTCTTGTTGAACGTACTCATCGGTATCTTGTACTTGTAGCAGACCTTGGCGATCGTAGCACATTCTTCAGTCGACTTCGGATACGCCACCGCAACGGGAAGTTGGTCGATGTTGATAGACGACCATTCCGAATATCCGTGTCGATGCAAATCCTCGTCGTCGGTACTAATGGTGTCTTCCCCAAGAACATCCCTGAGCTCTAAAATGGCCTATACTAGACTAAGTGACTGATCGATGCGAAAGGATTGTGTAATCGCAAACTTACCCTCTCCATCTCGTATTTGTTCGCATATTGGGGCCCTGATGACTTCTTCCATGGCATCTGAATTCTGTGCGGTTCGTCATTGGCGCCGTAGAAGTATGTAGTTGTTCCGGTAACTGCAGAAAATAGCAAGACCCGTCCTGAGTTCCAAAATGGTCTTTGAAGTTGCTCGGCTTTGAAGGTCTGCTCGCGTCCAGTGCGTGCTCGAGCGCCACCTCGCTTGAAGATGGGTGAGGTTATTTGCCTCAGTCGCGCCGCTGGCTGGCGGAACATGACGAAATCGACAACGAAAAAGGGAAAATGGAGTTGCAATCAGTTGTTGGGATGCTGGGAAGAGCTATAAGTGGAATCCACTTTCGCTGACTATGGGTCAGGGCGCATTTGGCGAACTAGTATGACAGAAGAGTGGAGGAGAAGATGGTTGCAAGGCTGGCCTACGCATTTTGTGGATCTAGAAGCCGAACGGCAAGCACAGTAAGAGCGGGGAGAGGTTATTTCAGTCTAAACGCAGTTGGCGCGATAGTTCTTTCGGGTATCGCTTTGAGCGTCGTTGGCCAGCGCACAGGTAAAGTCGCAATACACGTCCTAAAAGTCGTGGGATGGACCAGTGATAGCGTGGGAGGCTGACGAGATTCCCGATTTTCTGTATCAAATTTTTCGGCTCACGCATCAAATGAAGTCGTGCATGATCACCTGCAAGGGGCTTGGACACACGCAAGGTAATTGCGGGGAAGACCAGGGCAACGACAAGCAAATGTGTTGGTTCGAGACGCATCGTGGCGACAGGTGACGCTGAATGACATTCCGAGCGAGATGCCGTCGCGTGACGAGGCGTTCGCTAGGGCCCCGAGCGGCTGCAGACAAGGACCGAAGATGTGGATCTGGAACTCTGCGGACGACCATGATACGCTGCTGCCATGTATGTTTTCTTTTCGAGAGCGAGACAAGTGGCAGAAGAGGCGCCTGTCAGGGACAATCTTCTACCTCTATGTCTGATGCCCATGGCTGAGGCTCAAAAACAGAAGCTTGGGAGGCTTGGGGAGAAGCTGAGCGGCAGACTTGCCCTTGGCGATTGGACGACGGTGATACCATTACCTCACGAAACTTGCTCCTCTCGTCTGTGCAGCTCAGATGCTGGCTGACAATCGAGCGAGTGGGGGAAGAAGCTGCACATGAGCGTTTGCCGTACCCCACGCGCGATCTTCAGGCGTCTGCTTGTCGGTGAAGCCAGAAAGCCGGAGGAGGCCGGTGGATGCCGCGGTAGCGGCTACAGTTCCAGGCAGACGACTACTCCCATATAGTACTGAAGCGGGATACCGTATACGGCTCCCATGAGCAATGTAATAGAACGCCATTAAGCTCGAGACTGCGAAGGAACTGCCAAAAGCAAAGACGACGCGTAGAGTCTATTACCACCAATGAGAGGTAACGTGTGAGCGGAGAATAGAAAGAGCCCCGCAATGCCTGCGGGCTAGCAATGCTGCGCCCAGCAGCTGTACGATCTATAGATGGCTGACGTCAACAGGCAAACATGTGGAGTGCGAGCAGGAGCAGGGAGTGGAGTGTGAGATGTTGGCGCAGGATGCATGGTCGCGTGCATTGATTCCAATGGGGAAGTCGGCGATCCCGGCACGTCTTTTCGGCCGTCGCCAGAGGAACGCGACAGCAAACAAGTTCGCGTCACAAATCCACGCATAACGAACATTCGGCCCAACTCCGAACATAACTCGATCCAGCAGACATGGCGGATATCGGCGCAGAGTTGACGTCGGAACTGACAAGGATCATCGAGTGTCCATACCCCCCTTCGCTATCCGTACGTATTTGCCCCTCATCTTCCCCAACTCCAATGCATCCTCATGTCGTGCCACTAGCCAACTCCCGTATTTGAGCACATGACTCGCTGCATGAGCATCCCATCGTTGATGAGATGAGCTGACGCGAGATCCCACAGAACCTTTCCGATCTTTTGGCGCGCGTCGACGTACCGACTATCCGATCATGCGTCCAAGACCGGTCACCTTGCGCGGTGAGGAAACTAGGCAGGATTGTCCACGATGCACTGTCCCTGAACGCATACACGCTTCGTGTGCTGCACCTATTGTGTAAGCAGTTGACCGGTCTCCGCTTGATAGTAGAAACGCAATCAAACTGACTACGTGTTCTCAGGTCATGCGCCAGAATTTCGAGATGAGCTACTGGTCTTGGAGCCGTCCTTACTCCCTTCTCTGTTGAAGAGGGCAAATTCATCAAAGTCCGAATTCGAACATGTGAGTACGATAATTGTAAGGTACATCACTTACTAACAATGATCTAGCTTGCCGAGCTATGCGTGCTTCTTCTTTCTCGCCCACTGCCCGAGGCAATACCATTACCCGCCGTAGCACAAAACTTCTTTCTTAATGTCTTCGAAAACGCCACACAGCAACCAAACTACGAGACCCTGAAGTCAGTGTACCGTATGCTCAACGGTGCATGTCGTCGACTTTACAGCCTTCTTCCCAGAGATCTGAGGCAGCGGTTCGACACGGAGTTGTGCAATATTCTCAGGTCCCCCAAAGTCGCCGATTCCTCTTTATTGTTCCTATGGGCAGAAGGCATAGTGCTCATCACCGAACATCCCGAGGGAGTCGACGGACTGCCAAATCTGCCTACTGACGAGGAGCCGACATCCACCGAAAGGCTAAGACAACATTGGGCAACACCTTCAGGCCAAAAGCTGTTCGGCTCGACAAGCTACTTATACAAGACTATTGAGCTCACTTGTCTGAACGTAGTGTGGATTCTTCGAGGCGGAATCAAGGAAAATGAAGCAATCGAAGGCCTACGTATTGCCTCCAGGGCTATGCAGTTCATTGGCCAAGACGTGAAGGACAATTGGCCTCAAGTTCAGAAGAAGTATGCCATGCTGTACGAAAAGTGCGCCTCCAAAATCCAAAACTCCAATGCGAGTCTATCCGTCCAATTAGAGGCCCTCTCATTCTTTGGCATACTTTCAAGTTCTCAGAGCTTGCCGCAAGGTATCGTCGCACGCTACGAGTCATGTATATTGGGAGCCCCTCGCGTGGCAGAGCCTCAAGGCTTTGCCGAGCTTCTTGCAGTCTCACTGCCAATCTACGCAGTAAGCAATTCATTCTGTGGTACTGGCTGATTCATTAACCAGGGCAGGTGCAGATGCAGGAAAGCACCGTCGTGGCACTCTTATCAGGCATTTTATCAGCATGTGCTTCGCAGCCTGACTCCCGCGAAACTTCCAACTCCATCGACACTATCGATGAGCTGGCCACAGCCGCGATGGCGACTGCTGCTTTACGAAACACTGTGCTGCGCGCACTGTCATCGAGGGGCTTGCAAGAGAAAATGCAGAACCTCATTCGTGCTGGTGTGACGAAAGAAGGCCCCGGCTGCTGTACACATGCTGCATTATTCCGTCGGCAATTGATCGCTGCCACAATCGCTTCATTACTCACCATTGTTCTTATGGCGCAACCGGGAGAGTCGACGATACCGCACACCCTCGTGGCTGCGCTTATCAAGAAACAGCGAGACCTTCCCCCCGCGCTAGATACTTGCTCACACTCGTCGAAAAGCCCCACGCAGCCTTCGATCTCCCTCTTCCAAGAAGCGAGCACGCAGTACACGGGCCAACATCTCCAGGATTGGCGCAAACGCCTCGAATTGGAGCTACAAAGCCAGAACAAACATCAGCGAGATGCCGTTGTGCGCTCTATGGCACAAATATGCAGTGATCTCGAGACACGTTGCAATACAGTCGAAGAGCCGCTAAGGGTGGAGACAGAGAAGTCCGTCAAACTCCAGGAACAGGTCGCTCACCTACACGAAAAGATCTCCCTTCTCAATGAGCAGAACGATTTCCTACACAAGGATAGAGAAGAATCTGTGGAATACGTGGAGGGTTTGGAGAAGGAATTGCAGGACTCCATAGACGAGCAGAAGCGTCTGGAGCAAGAGAAGTCCGACTTGTTGGAAGAGAAGGGTCGAACGTACCTCAAGGTACAAGAACTAGAGACCTCCCTGGAAGCCTCTAAGCGGAATGCGTCCGAGGCTTTGGAGGCCGCTCACGAAAGGTCTAGCGCAAAAGAGCATGAACTCTGCTCGACGATAAGCCAGTACGAGGAGGACAAGCGCGTCCGCGATGAACAATTTGAGGAGCTGCACAGTACCATGAAACAGCTAAGAGCATCTCAAATGCAGCACGAGAGTGACTATCGCAGCCTCACTATACAGTTTGAGGAGCAGCGGAGACGCGGCTGTGAAGCAGAGGACGCACTTGAACGGGAGCGGGCGAACGCTGCCCGCCAAGCCGACGAGATCGCACAACTCGAGACGCAAGCGTCAGAATACAGGCAAGACTTGGAAGGGAAGGAAGCGGAACTGGAGGATGCCATTCGACAGCTTCATATCGCGCAGACCAGTTACGAGGAGTTCAAAGAGTCATCGGCTGAAACGATGAGAGAGCTCGCGGTGAAGCAGGCTAACGAACTGGAGGCTATCACCACGAAGGCTGAAGAGCGATGCGAGACGCTCGAATCGCGGCTGCTAGATGCTCAGCGCAACGCTCAAGAGGAACAACATAATCACGCGAAGACGCATAACAATCTTCAGCGTCTCCAAGCATCAATACCACCACTAGAAGCGAGGATCCAAGAGCTCGAGGAGTTTTGCAGAGAGCAAGAAGAAGAACTCGAAGAATTCAGGACGGCTCGCAAGATGATGGCGATGCATCTGCTGCCCGCTCGGCCAGCCTCTCGGACCTACAAGGAGATTGCTCAGCCCCAAACAGTAAGAGAGCCGCGAACTCATCGACGACGTAAATCAGCCATCAACACCCAAGAGGATGTTTCAGTCGCCACGGCGAATGCCCAAGCATTACCTAGCAGAGCTCTGGGAAACTCTACAAATGCGTCCTTCGCCTCATCAGCCGATTCGAATTCGTCCCAGGGAAACGGGCCAGCACCAAAGCGCGCCAAACCAAGGCCAGCTTTCAAGGTGCCAACGATGCAAACGCCACATAACCAGAAGCCCAACATTGCACCCACGTCGCTCTCACACTCACATCAGCTGTCGCCGACTAAGCGTTCAGTCCTGAGACCAGTCTCGCCGAACCGCCGCCACACGACTGTCGGGTTCACATTGCCAGGTGGCGAGGAAGAAGACGCTGCAACTGAGATTGAGTCAGTGAGGAAACGTAGAGGCAGCCTTCAAGACATTGAGCAAGTCGATTTTGACATCGACGATGATTTCACGACTGGCACCCCACTTACCCCGGGCTTTATGTCTGGCACTGGCCGGATTCCGGACGAAGGCGACGAGACCATGACTGAGTTGTGAGTACAAAAGCATGATTTACGATGGCATTTTGGGGAGGATAGGATAGCTGCCGTTTGTTTCATATCGGGCGTACGAAGGCTTTGCGCATTTGGTACGGGTACTTGCATGCATTGCGCAGGGGGCATTTGATGACTTTGAAGATACCCAATGGCGTATTCTCACTTCGTGTCTTGAATCTACCTTTACCTGCTGTTGATCTTACCGTATGCCTAGTGTTCTTCTATTTCCTGGACTTGCCGTCCTCTCAATCTCTCTACTTGACGTCTTCTTTGCTCTCTGTGTCTCACGGCTACCTGCATCTCTCAAGCGTCTCTTAGTCGACCGTCGTCACATCAGCCATAATTTCCATCTTCTTACGCTGCTCTCCGTTTGCACCTTCCCATCTTAGCACATGCACGCATTCGAGTAAGAGCAGACCCCGCGCCTTCCTCACACGATCAGTCCTCCTCCACTTTCCATCTACGTCCCTGCATCTGCAGGCTTCCACACCTATCTCTTTCTTCTAGAACTTGTTCTCGGCCGCTTCGAGGTCCAGCTGGCAGATTCTCAGCCCGACGTGAGCACACAAAACATCAGGCACGCGTGTCGCGACTCGCTCCTGCCGAATCCAGAGCGCCTCTAGGCAAACGGCTGTTTGACTGCCCAAATCGAGCAAACAAAATTCTCCATCCTCCATCCTTCCATTCCAATCACCCCACACAGGTACGGCCAGCACATCCAAGCAGAGCCTCTGGTCAGCCGCTTCGGCACCGCTACATTGCCCTTTCCTGAAGCAGCGGTCACCTCCGATTAGCCAGCCGTCCCCGCGCCACCACCGCTACCCTATCGTCATTCCCCAAGGATTGGCGTGAGGGCAAGTACGTTCACAAACAAACATGGACCGCTACCTTCATGACCCAGATCCCATGGGCTCAACGACTCCTGCTTTCAACACCAGCACCCCCACATCATCACGATCGTACACGCTGAACCGAGAACCAGTTCAGCACAGTAAGCAGAAATCTGAGACCAGCTCCAATAGTGAGAAATCCTTCGGCAGCCGCAACATGCATCGCGGTAATCAACGCGGTGGTCGTGGCGAAAATCGTGGTGGTAGAGGTGGCAACCGCACATACTCTGGCAGTTCCGGTAGCTCTAACGGCCAGTACAACCCCAACCGACCAACTCTCAAGCCCGCTTCGGCATCTCAGTCCTCTCAAGCTCCACGTACTCTCATGACAACTATGGAGCAGGTCCCAGCCCGCGTAGACCCACCAGTTACCCCGGTCAAACAGCTCTCCTCTTTCGACTTGAACGGCAACAGCATCAACGAGACCTACATCGCGAGAGCTAGTACCACTCCAACACCATCTCCGGCAAGATCACCAATGATAAGCCCACCACGACAGGCCACTCAAGCGTCTCCTCGATATGGAGGTAATCGCCCGCGCTTCAACTCAGCTGGTCAGCGTAGTCCACAGAGGCCAATTGTGAGGAATCAAACTCAGCATTGGGCCCATTACCAGGAACTGAAGCTCAGGTTATCGGGCTTACCCAAGAGCTGCTGGACGAAAGAGGTGTATCAAGTAATGGCGTCGTTTGGTTCTGTCATCAGGATCGAGATGGTCTCTGGCACCCGAGACTACTCCGCTTACGTGGTGTTTCGGTGAGTATTACTTCCGTCGATAGATGTCTGCTCTAACATTTTCCTTGCAGACCTCCCCCAGTGAAGACCATTCCTCATCAAAACCTTCGTATCGGCGGTGCTCTCGTAAGGCTTGAGATACTCCCTTCACAAGTCAAGACCGTTCCGAGCCCAGCCAATCCCGCCAAATCATACTACGAGATCAATGTCCTACCTGTACATGGGCTCGACTTCGGCGTCAACGTGGCAGACAAGACCATGATTGCGATGCATACCTTGCGTTCACCGGGCATCATCTACATGACGCTGAACCTGATGCGCAAAGAGCTCGACATTCAGTTCTCAGTCGATGTCGATAGCCAGATGCGCAAGTTTCGCTTTGCGTTGCCAATTGCCCTGCTCTCTCGTATATACAAGACCATCGACAAAGTCACTGGTCAGCCGACTTTGATCATTCCGTTCAGCTCACCCCCGCAGTTCTACATGCAGCGAAGTGAGGGTCAGCATCTGGAGGACGGAAGACAATGCAGTACATTCTCTAGGAAAGAGAGAGCTTGGAATGCCTGGGACACTTGGTTCCGGGCAACCGATATCATTAACAACGCCGTCAAGAGCAAGTTCCAAGGCTTGCCGTTGATGAACCATAAGGATACCGCCATAATCGACATTGGTAAGTGGCCTGTACCTTCATCAAACATCGCTCGACTAATAGATTCATTAGGACGATGGACGAGTTATCGCATGATCTTCGACGCGACAGTGATGACTGGGCCCAAGTTTAAGGACTTCAGCGATGCTCTCGCCGATCATGGCGTCGCAATTGAGGACCTTGACGAGTATACGATCCAAGAAATGGTTCCGTCGCCTCTATGGTCACTGCTACAAGAAGAGATATCTGGCACACATCCACATCTTGAGTCGACACCCTCAAAGGGCTCGGTCTTCGAAGATCTCTTCGCTGGCCAGTTTCATCTAAGCTTTCCCGTCCGGTACCAACTCGAGGCGTGTCTATCGAACGGCTATTTGAAGGAACACAACATCACGAGCGACTTCTTAGAGAAGCTCACAGCGATGGAACCTCGCCGCGCCATCTACATCCTAGAGAAAGTCGTCGACAAACAGCACGTCTACTACGATCCGATGGAAATATTCGGCATTCGGGTCAAGGACCTTGCGAGGAAAATTCCTAGCTACTGCATCCTTCAACGATTGGTGGTAATCACCCCAACCATGATGCATGTAGCATCGCCTAACATGGAGACCTCTAACAGGATCATCCGCAAGCACGCCGCTGATGGCGATCGTTTTATCCGAGTCAAGTTCTCCGACGAGAAGACAGAAGGTCAACTGCGCAATATGCCCAACGGAAGGGCTGAAGCTGCATTCGACAGGGTACGTCGGGCCATGAAGTATGGCATCGTCGTCGCCGGAAGATACTATGAGTTCTTAGCATTTGGCAACTCACAGTTTCGCGAGCATGGGGCATACTTCTACGCACCTACTTCCTCCAAGTCCGCCGATGACATCCGCCTCTCACTGGGCAACTTCGATCACATCAAGACCGTCGCCAAATTCGGTGCTCGTCTCGGTCAATGCTTCTCAACCACTCGCGCGATGCGGGACAACGTTAAAGTTATAACAATACCCGACATCATACGTAACAACTATACTTTCACAGACGGCGTCGGTAAGATCTCACTCTTCCTGGCCCAGATGGCTGCCCAGGAACTCGGGCTTGCCCGCGCGTTCGACGACCCGCCGTCTCTATATCAATTTCGCCTCGGTGGCTGCAAGGGGGTGCTTGCCCTGGATACAAAGATCACTGGTCCTGAGGTTCATATAAGGCCCAGCCAGATGAAATTCGTGGCACCCTACACTGGTCTGGAGATAATACGATCTTCCTCGCTTGCGACACCGTTCTTCAACCGTCAGATTATCGTGGTCTTGTCATACCTTGGCGTACCCGATTCTGTGGTAATCAGGAAGCAACAAGAGATGATCAATGACTACGAGACCGCAATGGTAGACGATGGCGTTGCCTTGCAGAAGCTCCGAAAGCACATCGACATGAACCAGACTACGTTGACCATCGCAGGAATGGTCCTCGATGGATTCATGAAGTCTCAAGATCCGTTTGTCATGTCTCTCCTCAAGCTTTGGAGGGCTTGCACCATCAAGAACCTCAAGGAGAAGGCTCGGATAGCCATCGATGACGGCGCATTCGTACTCGGCTGCGTTGACGAAACAGCAACACTTCAAGGCCATATGAACGACCTCCAGCTCGATGCTACGAATGAGGAGAAGCTTGCCACACTCCCCGAGATCTTCCTGCAAGTCGATGATACGAGCAGGAAAGGACACTACAAAATCATCCAAGGATTGTGTGTCCTGGCGCGAAACCCATCACTTCACCCGGGAGATCTTCGAGTCGTTCGCGCAGTAGATGTACCGGGATTACATCATCTCAAAAATGTCGTGGTGCTGCCACAGAACGGGGATAGAGACCTCGCCAACATGTGCTCTGGTGGCGATCTTGACGGGGACGATTATATGGTGCTATGGGATCCAGATCTCATACCCCAAAACGTCAATATGCCTGCCATGGATTTCACAGCCGAAAAGCCGATTGAGACCAACGATCCCATTACGGCCGCCCACATTGGCGAGTTCTTCGTCAGCTATATGAAGAATGATACCCTTGGCCAGATTGCGCACGCCCATCTAGCCAATGCTGATCTCCAAGCCGATGGGGTCAACGACGACAAGTGCCTTGCTTTGGCGGAGTTGCACTCCAAAGCCGTCGACTTCCCCAAGAGCGGGTTGCCAGCCGAGATGGCGCGGGAACTGAGACCGCATAAGTACCCACATTTCATGGAGAAGAAGCATCTCCCAGAGAACAAGATCTATCATTCGAAGAAAGTATTAGGTATCCTTTACGACCAAGTGCAGCTAGTCGACTTCAAGGTAAGTCTTGACCGCACGAGATGCATGTGAGACATACACTGACTTAGTATCTTCATTTTTGTAGCCTCAATGGGAAAACCCATTCGATAAGCGCGTCCTGGATGCCTTTGAGCTCGGCGACGAAGTTTTGGCGAAAGCTGCGGAAATCAAGACTTCATACGATGAGTCCTTGCGGCGCCTGATGGCCAAGCATGGCATCCAGACAGAGTTCGAGGCCTGGTCTGTATTCGTCATAGTGCATAACCATGAAGTAAGTCCTGATTGTTCGAGATCCGTGACACATACTGACTTCGCACCCTTGCAGAGCCGAGATTACAAATTCGCAGAAGAATTTGGAAGGACTATCGGTGCCTTCAAATCACAATCCAAGGATGAATGCCGAACTGCTGCAGAAGACAACCTGGAGAAGTTTGTCGCCGCGATGTATGTGGTGACTGCGAGAGAGATGGAGACTGCATTGGCCGAGTGCCGTACGATAAAGACAGTTGGTGGTAGGGACGTTCCGGTGCGACCTATGGAACCGGAGCACATGCCCTTGATCTCATTCCCGTGGCTCTTCCCAAACGAATTGGGAAAAATTGCGACCGGCGGCGCGACCACCCGACAGCTAGACGTCCAGCAGAACATCCCAACCCGACCCAAGAAGCACCCTGGATCTTCCACGCTGGCAGAAGTCGATACAGAGATTGGTATTGTTGAGACCGAAGCAGGTATCACGCGTTATGGGGAGTTGCTGGACTTGGATTTTAGCCTCTAAGGAAGGACAGAGTGGCGGAGGAGGCATGAGGATGATAAGGAGTACGAGTAGGAAGCTTTCAGGAAAAGTTGAGCTTAAAGACTACAATGGTAGTTTTGATGGCAAAGCGAAGTCAACAGCGGGCCGGGGAGGATACGGCGTGGGCCAAAGGTGCAGAAAAGTACGGCGGGTGTTTCTGGCTGGCGGCGTTCATGGCTGACCTTGCGACGGACTGGCTTTGGGGTTCGTGTTATGTCTGAAGGGCGTGCGGGAGTTGTTCACCATGAAGGTAGAGAAAACCATAAAACCAAAGAAAAAAGTAGAAAATAGAGAGAAGAAAACTTACACGCACCTCTTGACATGGGTGATGTCTCTTTTTCTATAAAAACACGCTATGACGATGACAATGGCGGGTATCGATAAGCTGCACACTACGCGCAACTCATAATTTCCACTTGGTGTCCGCGTCACGATGCCACCCTCGACGCGTATCCCAGCGCTCCTTCAACCCTACGTCCAACTACCGCACGACTCGATCCTCCTGCTCACGAGCACCCTCGGCGCGAGCGCGAACTGGCTGCTCATCCGCTTCCTCTGCAATGAGCTGAGCACACAGGATGGCGGGGACGAGGGGCACAACGTCGTCCTCGTCTCTTGGATGAGAGAATACGACTTCTGGAAGCAGGAGGCGCGAAAAGGCGCAGCGCTTGATCTGGACAAGCTGAGGAAAGAGGGACGCTTTGCCTTTGTTGATGGACTGGGTGCTGGTGGGAATGCGCCAGACAGTACAGCAGAGAGACCATCGCGAACCGATGCGCAAGCAACACCACGAGTCCCGGTATCGAATGCGACACCACAGAGAGGGCCACAGATATTGCCTGCGCGAGGACCGCCTGGACGGATAGTGCCTGCGAGAGGGCCACCTCCATCCGCCCCAGCGGCGGCGCCAGCTACATCACTAGCTACGACCATCGCGAACGGCCCGGCGAGTACAAACCAAAGCGTCCCCGGACACTATACGCTCAAGAGCCTCGAGATCGCAGACATCAAGTCTACTATCTCCAGCGCCATCTCCCCACTCGCTACATCCCCCGCCCGAAAGACGCTCATCATCTTCGACAACCCCGATCTCCTCCTCGCGCTCAACCCAGCCATCACACCCTCCCACTTCACCACCCTCATGCTGCAATTCCACACGCTACCGAACGTATCCCACATCCTCGCGCACCTACAAGCCGACAACCCACTCCTCAGCCTCTCCACACCTCCGCAGCCGCTCGAAGTGGCGCATCATAACTTGGTTGTCAAATGCGCACACATGAGCAGGAGGATACTAGGTGTCAGAGTATTAGACACTGGCGTCGCGAGGGATGTGAGCGGTGTGATACGCATCACTGAGCAGAGAAAGCAATGGTTTGATGTGGGCTTTGGCATTGAAGCTAACAAGGATGGCGACGACAGTGGGAGAGGCAAGGAGTTCTTGTATCAGGTCAAGAGCGACGGCAGCGTAAGGGTGTTCGAGCGTGGTGCTGGAGGAGAAGGCTGAGGTCTACATCTCAGGCTTGACGAGCAATTCGTGCATCTACACCCCTCGTTGACGCTGCAGGATCATCGCCTCTCTCCGCGGATGCAATGCGCAGGAAGGTGTATATATAGTCGTCTCGGCTACATAGCATGTTCCAAGCCAAGCAATGGAAAAGACCCACACATGATCAATTCTTATCATCAGCTGTCGAATACCTCAGGCTAACTCCTACGTTACTGCAACAGAACTACGCGAGCCTCGCAGAACGCCGCATCTTTGTAGAACAGAGAGGAGTGTACAATATATTAATATTCTATATAGAGAGAGGAACCCCTAGTATATATAGTAGAGAGGTAACGCTAGTAAGTAAATATATAGTAAATAGGTAGATTACGTGTATAGATACCTAACTAATAGCCTCTCTAGATTCTAACTTAGAATACACGCTATCTATATAATAAGAGATACCTAGAGTACTATAAATAGCATTAAACTTTATAAGGTCTAACGCTTTTATAAGTATATTAGCTAGATTTACCTTACTACTAATTTATATAATAGTAATATTACTATTACAAACGTATTTATAAAGAAAATAGTAATAAATATTAATATATTTACTACGTTAATAGAACTTAAGATTTTTTAATAGCTTAATAGCAGACTTATTATTAATATAGATAGAAATATTATTAAAATAAAGACCTATATATAAGTTATTAATAAATTCTTTAATCTATAATACTTCTTTAACTACTTTAGAGAGAGCTATATATTTAGCTTTATATATAGAAAAAGTAGTAACTTTCTAAATATCTAAAGACTATAACACTAGTCCTCTAGCAAGAGTAAAGATATATTCTATAGTAGAGTAATAAGTATTAAGATAACTAGCTTAGTTAGAGTTATAGTAGCTAAGTAGCTAGGTATTACTCTTATAATAGATAATACCTACGTTAATAGTACGCTATACGTATATATAAGCGCGCGTAAGAGCGTTAAGATAGGTCTAGTTAGAGTTAGTATTATACTAGCTATAAAGAGAAGTAGTATATATAAAGTTAATTTATATTATAGTAGAGAGGTAATTAAGTAAACTAAATTTCTAGAGATACTTCTTATAGAATTATACTCTAGTAATAGTATTCTTTTCTTAATAGAGCTTATCGCGATAGTCGCAAGAAGTCTGTATAGATAGAAGGTTATAGAAACTAAAATAGTCTAGTAGGCGTTAAATATACTTAGCTTAATAGATCTTAATAGTACTCTACGTATATTTAATATATATACTAAGGTAGAGAGCGTTAGAATTCTTAGATATAATAGTAAATATCTTAGATAGTTCTTTATAGAAATTATAGATAAGTATATAGCTAGTAGCGTATATATAAATATTATTAATATATATAAAGATAATAAATACTTTAGTAGTATAGATATAAATATATAAGTTAAAGAAAGATATATAAAACTCTATCTAAAGAAGTTATATAGTAAGTATATTATACTATATATAAGAGGCTTATATAAGACTATATAAGAACTTTATAAGTATCTAGACTTTGCCTAGAGCTAGTGTTATAGGCGAAGATAGTATAATGTAGAGTATTTTCTAGAGAGTAGCGTTTAGAAAGGTAATATAAATATTAGATTAGCTAGTAACCTAATTAAGTAGAGTATAGATTACAAGTAGAATGTAAATAGACGTAGACTATATAGTTAGAGAGAATATCTTATTATAGTCGCTAGAATATTAGTAGTCTCCGCAAATAATAACACGTGCTTTAAGTTTAGTAAGATTACTAGTAGAGGTAGATTTAGCTTTAAATATAATTTTTATTAGAAAGGCCTTAGCACTAGTAGAAAGAGTTACTATCTTATATACTCTCTTCTATAGAAGTAAGTTAAACTTAGCGTACGTTATAGTACGCTAGCTATCTATCTAGAGCGTAGTTATAGCTTTTTTATAATTCTATAGTATATAAATAAATATAGTAAAGATAGAAGGTATAGTAGCTATAGTAAGATTAAAATATAGGTTATTAAGGTTATTATTAAAGAGATAAGTACTAGGTAATAGATCTATAACTTATAGATATAAGTAATTAAGATTATTATCTAGCTAGTTATTATAGGCTAGTACACTAATACCTTATAAAGAGAGAGATAAGAAGTAGATAATATTATTATTAAGACTATTATAGATCTTAATATTATAGTTTAAAGAATATAAAAGATATAGAGTAGCTAAGAGATCTAAGTTAAGTAGGTTATTATTAAGAAGACTCTTATCTATATCTATAGAGTTATTAGTATTATTATTAAGCTTACTTCTCTAATAGAGATTAGTAGTATATCTATATTCTATATAGAATATATTATAGATAATAGTAAAGAGCTTAATATTATTATTAAGAGAATAAGTAGCTTTCTCTTTTAACACTAAGGTATTATTATTAATCTTCTTAGAGTAGTATTTAGCGTAACTATAAGCTAATAAGTACTTAGTTAAACTAAGATATTAGTAATATAGGTAGTGCTAAGAGTAGTTACGTTGTGCCGCAAAGTATAAGAAATAAACGTTATCTTATACGTAATTAAGCGCACTATTAAAATATATACCTATCTATTATATGCTATTATAGAAGAAGCGGCTGTATATAGTCTTAAGACGTATATATCTAGAATATAGAATGTCTAGATTGCAGCTAGTATAATAAGAGATGCAATAATTATATAGCTTATTATCTTTAGTAGAAAGAGATATATAAGCTTAGTTATTAGTAAGGTAGATATTATAAGAGTATTATCTATTATATTACCTAGAACTTAAGCTATGTTTCTTTAGAGTCTGCCTAGATATTTTCTAGCACGTAAGATAATAATCTACTTTAGGCAACGTAGAGCAAGATATTAGAGTTTATTATAGAATATAGGTAAGATATTAGTTAGTAGATTTACAGTAATTATATAGTTCTCTAGGTGCGTTATAGATATATATATAAATTAGTATCTTTAAGCGTCTGTATAGTTAATATATATTTAATATATAGTTAGCTTATTTATTAGTAGCTAGAATACACTAGTAGTAGTATTTATAGTAATATTAATATTTAGAGTTATTAGACTTAGAGTCTCTATAATAATATCTTCTATAGACTATATAATTTAGATAGTTATTTTATACACTCTTAGAAACTAGAGTTAATAATATAGCTTTATAACTAGAGAAAAGGCTAAGAGTAGAATTATCTTGCTAAGAAGTGCTAGGCGAAATAAGTAGCGTAAAAATATAGTTATAGGTTTCTTATAGAGTAGAGAGAACTAAAATATAAGAGTTTAGATAATTATTATTAGAGCTGTATTTAGAAAACATATTATCTCTACTAGAGATATAAATAGGCCTTAGATTAGTGTTAGTAATAATATATCGTATTATCTATTAGTTAACTTAGAGAGAATATAAGAAAAAGTTATTATTATAGTTATTATTATA